CTACGTGACGCGTGATGTGACGAGTGACGTCATTTATGTTGCAATAAGATTAAAACGTACTCAATGCAAAGGAATTATTAAAGTCTTGTTTTATTAAACTAACTACTAGACATTTTATATATGTACATACACATTTTCTCGAAGCTATGCCGAGAATCTACATTTCTTGGTATCACAGACCGATAACATTTCATTTGAATTTTGTTGCTTTGGCTTACAATACCGTGATCCGAAGTTTAAACTTCATGACATCCGCGTTGCTAAGTCGTGAAGGCTGCCATGAAAATCTAGATAAAAATGTTTTAATATTATTCCCATGATACTATACGTGGTACTATACTGATATCTGATACTTAGTAGAAATAAATGATGTCATCATTCGACTTTTCCCATTGCCAAAATGCTGTAGTACGTATGTTACAATTTCAATCATTTGAGGGCTCGCGAGGAACGCGGCGGTGTCAAATTAGTATGATGTTATTGCTAGAATTGTTACGATAACTACCTGCATATCATACCTTCATGTGGTTACGCTTCGACATACCATAGGTATACCTTGTTATACGTAAGTTGTAAGCACTTTTTAAACATTTTCTTTCTATTAGAATTACGCATGAAAAAAATCAAATGTGGATTGATAGATTAAATAGAATTTAAAAAAAATCATGATTTGTCATGTTTAATGTAAATTAATAAACGAGCCATCTGTCGTCTTGTTGCCGAACTGGTACCATTCTCACTGCGCACCGTGCTTTAGTTTTACATTATTGAAGTAGATGGCGTTGAAATCATATAATCAGTCTCTACTCTTAGAAAAACAAATTAAAAATAATTTACGCAAATACACGTTTATATTATAATTATTATATATCTTTATCGTTATATTTAAAATTTGAATACAATTTTAAAATACCAACAAATTCAAACTCATTTTCATTCATTTAAATATAAACATTTTATTGTATTCATATTTATATAATCCGTTAGTGTTTTTTTTTAATACTACCAGTATTTAATTACGATCAAGTATTAAGTTAAACAGTGTTACTACTTTGTAATAAAGTAAGCTAAGCAATTAGTGTGCGTTTGTAAATAGAAGCAATGTTAGCGACTACTCTCGATTCTCGATTTTGTTAATTGGGAAACAGATATCTTACTTTACGGTGTCTATTTCAGAGCGCAGTAAGGTCAAATCGTTTACAGACTTGAATTACAAAGAATGTTGCGTTAAAATCTATTTTACGGATTATAATAGCGTTGTTATAAAATTTATAAACCAGACCTTTATTTATAGTTTTAGTTGATTCTGAGAAACATGTTGAATAGCAATTACATTTGTAATTGTCTTATGTAGGTTATTACGGGCGCATCCAATTTATGGCCTAGGTTTGGTCTAGGGAGGGTAGCTACCATTTATTTTGTTATTCCAAGTAGTTTAATATCTACTTAATTTTTAGAACCTATGCGGAGGGCGGTTGACCCCCTACCTTCCGACAACCCCTATGTGTACTACCTTATTCTATTATTGTAGCTAATTTTATAAGGAACTTCGTGTTATTGACAGATTGTGCTCAAGGTTTACAACCTATGATACATTCCTACGCATGTGCAGGTGACTAAGAGGAGACATCATTTTTATATTTAGATCTATGTTAACTATTTACGAGGGACGATGCGTAGGAATAATAGGTGTTAGTAAACATGGAAAATAAAAAAAAATATCTAATGTTAAAATGAATAGTTAAATGTTAATTAATAATTATAATAATAATAGTGTATTTTGGGTTCCAATATATTTCCTTCTCTAAAACCTCTTTGCCGCTATCACCTCCTAACGAGAATACATCAAATTATTAATACCCCGTAAAAAGTTTCATTCATTATAACGTAGCACCTTACTACTACGATATGGTAAGAGAAGACTGCCTCGCTAAATATAGTTTTAGTCCTGGAGACAGAACCCCACTGATTTTCGTAAAAATGATTTTGCTCAATAATGATAAAACTAGCATAAAACGATTAAAATACTACTATTTCACAATTCCAATTGGATCATACTATTGTTATTGATTCACTTACAAGATGATGTCATTGCTATAGGAGTAACTTTTGTAATGACACCAAGAAATATTTTATTTTAGGAAAGTCCTAACTTTATTGTAAACGTTTAATTTAATTAATGTAATATAGAGCGAAAAAGCACGTTTTCAATACTTATTAGGTTTCAAATTATAAAAAGTAGTGGCTTTTGCCGCGTAGAATTAAAAAAAACAAAAAAATAGTGAGTATATGTGTTCTTTCAGATTTATATGTATATCTATGTCAAACATTTAGATCCGTTCCGACGTTTTGGCAGTAAACTCTAACAAACATTTATCCATCCATCTATCATAACTTTCGCACTTATAACATTAGTGAGATTTAATTTTGACATTTACATAAAAATTCGGACTGATTCACTACTAGCGTGATCTCATTTGTCGTTAAAAGTGTTGACACCGTTCTACTACGCTCCACAGTTACGCCGTGTTCATGTTCAGTCAGTCTTATTGCGTCACGCCGTCCGGTCTTACGATAACATTGTTAAAACATTTGATACTCGAATTAAAAATATAAGTGCATCAAAATGACGATCAGCAGGCTATCCATCGTTAAATTCCTTGAACTGGTAAGTTATTATTAATTATTTTGAAACATTAAAACGAACGCATGTTTACAAAAAACAAATTGTAAACATTCTCTCTGTATTGTTTTTGATATTGGAGTATTTCTATTTTAACTGATTAATAGGAAAATTATATAAATAATAACGAAAATATCAAGAGGTACCTTTAGGTTTTGTGTTAAAGTTTATTTTGAGGATGAACGATGCATGTCAAGGTCACCTGGACCTCATGCAAACTGGTTTGGTTCAACAGTAAAAGGTGTACGAATTCGATATTGTGTTTTTATTATATTTCATGCCAAGTCACTTCAAACTGCAACTGTTTAAATAATACATTTAAGTATGTTGATTATATCTAAGAACAGTATAATTTACTAAATTAATTAAAACCTTTAGTAGTTTATTTATAGTACTCTTTGATATTAAAAGTAAACATGAAATTGGAATAACTTAATCTATAAAATATTTTCATGTTAACACGCTTAAGTGAAAACGTAAATTGTATATGCGTGTGGTAATGGCATAACAATTGTAGGGCGTTGACTTTTTAATGTTATTCAATGTTGTGTACATGCCCTTACCAATGGCCCAGGGTGTGGTCTTCAAACGAACGGCGCGTTATCAAAGCAAATGAAGTCATAATGTTTTTATATCTAAACACTCAGAAGCGGAAACATGACGCGATATGTTGCTGCAATCTTATTTATTTTTATTACTGTACAATTTACTTTACACAAAGATCTCTGATTAAATAGCTGTAATTCCATTTCCAATAAGAAAGAGTAATGAAAATCTAAAAAAAAAAAATCATTTTTCTTTACATTGAATCGCCATGACATTTGTATCCCTACGTTCATCTATACTAATTTTATAAAGAGGAAAGATTTGTATTTTTGTATGCATGGAAATAACTCAAAAACATTATTATTGAAATGCTCCGTTACCATTGATTAACATAGGCTATTTTTTTTATTATATCTTTTATTTTGACAGGGACGAAGTCGCGAGCAACATTCATACAATAATTCTCCCTTGTACGATGGCCCCTTGTTATTTTAAATTGAATCGTATTTTACCCAGTTTGATTATCAAATCGTGCAGATTTTGTTATTTATGACGTCCTCCGTCTAATGCACAGAGACTTTATATACGTTTTTATCTAAACTAACCAATAGTAAACAATGCGCTTAAAATAACTATTACAATGGTCTGTCTGCACTTAAATTTTCACGTGGAAGAGGTTTAACAAGAAAATATGAAGTGCAGATTTAAATTGCAATATACAGAAGACTTTACTAGTATTAAAAAGAGGAAAGATTTGTATTTGTTTGTATTGAAATAACTCAAAAACTACTGAGCTGACTTTAAACTTTCTTTTACCGTTAGAAAGGTAATTTATCTGTGCATAACATAGGCGTTTAATTCATGCGGTCGAAGTTGTGATTATTCATAAAGTTTAAAGTTTAACATTTCAGTAAGCCCAAGGATTTGAGAGTATGTTACGAAAAAAAGGAGAAATCTAACTAACTAGTTAGTTCGTAACTACGAATATCGAGCACTCGTATACTGTGTAAATGCACTGCTGATTCCTTAACCACGTGGTATGTAGGTCGCCGGCCACGGTTCATTGCGAATGATTACATTATCTCTATTTTAGGTGTTGACGGATCAACTATCTTATGCTTTAAAAGTTTTCGCGTTAATATGTTAACATTTTAAAATCCCAATTTTAGTGTAGACTCTACAGTAAAATTACAATAATAACTAGCTGTCTCCGTCCGCGCGAAATTAAAAAAAAATTAAAAACGATCGGCTATGTGTTCTTAAAGACTATCCTCATATCTAACTAATTTAATCAAAATTTGTTCAGCCGTTTAGGCTACAAACACTAATAAACATCCATCCATCTAAACTTTTGCATTTATAATATTAGTAGTATTTCATTGATACCCATTGACTAAAAAGTAATTAAAAACCATACAACTCGAATTTTGAAGCTTATTCTCGTACATTATAAGTCAAAATCAATTGCAGTCAAATGTTAGACAACGTATTTTTGTTTGTTTATAAGTTGATTATAATGAAACATTTAATTTAATCTCGACAACTTATCTAAACCTATTGGATTCATTACTCAACGACACTAAATATATATCGCTTATATAAACTGAGTACCTATAATGACTTTTTAATTATTGAATCTATACTATTATAAAAAAAGCGTAAACACACACTTCTTTGTTGCCTAAGATCTCAGCAATTACAGCATATTTTTGAATAACTATTTTTTTAATAAGAAGCCCTACACTTACGTCAGGCTTTTGGCTATATATTTTCACGCCATTAAACTTAGGGGGTAAATATTTTGATAAAAAACCTAATGTGGGAAAGAGACCATAAGTTGCTGCCAACATCAAGAAAGAAAGATTGCTAAGGTTCGTCATGTTATGTCATTTTGACATTTGCAATTGAGAATTTGAAAAATGTAAACAAGTTTTTATAATTGATAGTAGCTGTTCGCGTGCGGATTCGTCCGTATGTTTATAAATAAATGTATTCAAATTTTGAATTTTAGATAATTTCTTACGATTCTACAATTATCTATAGTGTGAACAAACAAAAGTTAGAACGCTTTATCACATGTAATCGAAAATCTTTACTTTAATTGCAACCTTGAGTAAATCCATAACATGCAATTAAAATGCGTGGTGCGTATGTCTGTCGACATTGGTTATTTCGCCTTAACTTCACGGGGCATTTGGATTGACCCTGTGTACAATTTAGCTCATGGCTTAATCTTTATTGGGCTAAACGTCGCGTTTCTTTAACTTCAATTGACGCGTGAATCGAATATGCGATGAAGCTACATAATAGGTATACAGTTTTGACAGTGGTTGAGCCCGCTTAATCTCTTCGCATGAATTGGTCTGCTCGCCCGGTGTAATACCACGACCACACAAAAGACAGGCGTGAAGTAGGAGCAATTCCGCGTTTCGTCTTTTGAATGTGGTGTCGGAGGCCCAACTTTAGTCGCTTTCCTTCCCACAATTTTTCTTACAAGAAAAGGATGGGAAGGGAACGTGGATTTGACGGTGGAGCAGACACATAGGAAGGGGAAATATCTTCTCATGTGCGTCTCCTCCGCGGTAGCTTAAGGGTAGGCAAAGCATTCGCTATTGTGAATGTATGGGCAGCGGTAGCTTAACTAGTTTGGCAGATTCAGGTGGCTCGTTTGCCATATTATGATATTTTTCATTAGTAAACATTTTGTTAATTAGATACATGCTTCCTGTCTCTTTCAGTGCTATAAAAATCTCGAATAATATTAACGTACGTTTGTTTTTCAACATGATAACGGTGCTAATAAACGTTAATGTGTTTTCACATCACGATATTATGTCTTCGGCCTCGGCGATACGCGACCCGCATTTAATGTGGAACCGGTTACAAAGTATGACATCATCCCCCCCCCGCCTTAAATCGAGACCTTCGAGCAAGTCAAATATTACGTCACCCTCCAAAATCGTAGGATTTCGCGGATATGACGTCGTTATACACATCTATGACTTTTAGTATTAGAGTGTTGACTGTACACACAATTGAACGAATAACGCTTTTCTAATTAAATACAATTTTGCTTGAGAATTTAATTTAGAATGGCGATAGCTGCATTATAACCTAATCATATTAAGGATTTTAAAACTGCTAACAACAAAACTAAGAAAACACACAGTGAAAATGTTAAGATTGCTTAACAACTGGCATAGTACCATGATAATCTTTGACAAAGTTTGTCATTTGGACTATCAACTGCAATAATCAGTACTAGAAATGTCCATTAAAATTTCGTGTTTGTTTATTTTTTAGTACGTAATTATGATAAGCTGAATTGCGTTTGCATTACCTATAATATTCTTTTAAGACCATCTTAATGCACAGGTTAAAGACCCGAAGACATTAATAGTCAAACTTATTTTGTTTTAAACCTTAATACAAGACTAAATTTTGGCCCTCTTTGTATTGTTTGCTACGTTAAAAGCTATCTAACTGAATTTTAGCATAGTTGTAGTATTCAGTCTGGAAGAACACATACGCTACCTAGCCTAGTTTTCTAATACGAAAAGGATGGAAGGGAAAGGGGAATTGACTGTGGAGGGCATGTACCGAGAAGCAGATATAAATTTTGTCTATACTTAAAAAAATATATTGTCTCTCCTGATTTCTTGCTTATAATGTACCATTGTCTCTATCTTACCCTATACTTTTATATTTGTAGGCGCTGACCTGTTCATGCGTGGCCCTGCATTACCACAGTTATAATGCAGACGCGGACCTTGGTATGCTGGTCACCGGGACCTTCATTGGATATCTCATCATATTCGCTGGAGCAGCTGCAGGTAATTTATATAAACTGACGTTGAAAAACTTAAATAAAAGCATAATGTAACTTCTTTCTTCGGCTTGTTCCTTTTTTCTAACCAAATTCACCTAACCAGTTTGGTAATTATTTTTCGCTGTTCGTAACCGGGAGTACACTCTTTTATTTTCCAGGCCATCTATCACTATTACAAATTACATTATTTTTCCTTATCATTCCAAAAAGCTGTGTGTTGTCCGCCAGTGTGAAATTGACCGTGTGGTTGCAGACAACGTAGTATCAGCGGTTTCGTTTCCGGTTAGATAACTTTGGTTAGGAAAAAGGGAACAAGCCTTTTCTTCCGTTAAAAAGTAATGAAGATTCGAGAGCTATTAAAATGTATTTTATTGTTATTGAAAGGATAATGCGTTTAGTGTCAAATTACCAACAATTTATAGGTTATCACGAATTACTCATAGATTCACTTTTACACCTGTTAATGCCGCGTTATCGTTCTTTGTTACGGAACAATTGAAGATAATGTGTTGATTAAAGCCGTGGTTTAACTATTTAGATTGATTTTTATTTTTCATTGACGATGTTTTATGATTAAAGAGGTATATCTAATGTTATGAAAGAAGCTTAATTTGAGTAAAGCGCCACCTATCATTTTAAAAGTCAACTAATGGGTAAAACTTGTGATGCGTGGTTCACACTTGGCAAGAACAGTTGTAGTCAGTAGTGATCCATCAATTAACAGGCAGAGTGTAAACGCTAACAGGCGCCTAAGAGTATCGCTAGCCGTCCCAACTCTACTGTACTGGCCAAGTGTGAACCGGTCATAAGTTTTAAAAGGTGATCTGAGTTTGTCAGAATACAAACCGTACCAACAGAAGGCTTTACACGAAGAAGTGAGACTGAAATTATGTCATCAGAGTTAAATAAATATTGTAAATTACAGGGTACTTGATGCAGACGCCATCACACAAACGAATTGACATCTTCTACTCGTTGGTCGGTGTTGCGCTCTTCGTTGCCAGTGGTGCGATTATCATTGACAGGTGAGGATGTGATTTTAAATAGTGAGCTTTGAGTCTATTACTGTAAACATTTAAAATTCAAGATATTTACCTTCTAAAACTTGATTCCAGATTCCAGCACTACGGCAAAAGCGACTTCAGAGATAAGAATCTAGCTAAGGCGTCCCTGTCCATTATCAACGGAGCCGTTTTGCTTATCGACGCGGTGTTGACACAACGCGGCGGGTAGATGGCGCTGTTTGCTATTTATATTGAATATTTTTATACGGCTATGATTCAAAAAAGCAATCACGAAATTATATACGAAAATAAGGATAAAATCAAGAAAATACAATTATACTAACTGATATAATATGTATATTTATAAGGCTACCTCAAAATATTTTCGATAAATATACAAATATGCTTTTATAAAGAAAATTATGTTCGATACATGAAAAATAGTACATATTCCAAAGTATTTTCACACAATATTGCATTTAACTTTAAGTGTTTACGAAAATAATAACTTTTTATAATTATCACATTTTTCTACATTTATGACAAGTTTTTCTAAACGCTATTGACATTATTGCTTAAAATTTAGTACATAATTAGTGTTAAGAGAACAATATCAAAGTAAAGAAGTGTTTTATATAATTTATTGATTTTACAATCATTTTAATAATTACGAGAAATAGTTATTAACTGTCCATAAACAAATATAACTTAAGTTAAGTTTAGTAATTTATTGTTTGTTTTTGTTATGAATGCTTTTTACATTTAGTTTGAGCACAAGTAATTTTGGGAGGAAAAATCTTTATCTTTTTCTGAATTCAAACTTTTATAATACTTTTGAACAATTATAAAGATTTGTAAAATCGTTTTGTTTTATTTCGTCTTTTGGATTACAATATGAACTATATAGTACTAAATATGAATAATTTCCCTAGCTTATCTGTGATAGTCTACTTTAAAAACAAGTAAATTATGTTTTTAAATATTATCCAGAATTTAATATTTGATTACTATTAACTAGGTTATTATCTTAACAGTCTTTATTTGTGACTTGAGCTTTTTACAAATGTTTTTCTTGCATTCAAAGCGATAGCATGTTGTGAAGTGTGTTGTTGAGGGATGAAATACTACAAGAGCTTATCTGACGTTAAGTTCTTAAGTCATAATGTATGTTATTTAGTTAATATATTATAGAATTTGTGACGCTCGCTTCTAACCGAGGTTTAGGCTAAGCGCCATCTGCGCTCGGCCACCTCAAGCCCGATGAATCTAAATGCCTCTTCAAGGTAAACAGTGGCCATTCAGTCACAAAAAAAAATCGCGTCTAAACTCTGCCAGTCTCGTTACAGACATATTCGCTATCATATATATATTCGAATCATATTCGCTATTTGTGCAGTGTTAACCTGTCTACTAATCCTTGTAAATTGTCATATAACAATCCTACGTATAAAATATGTGATGGAAATATCGGATTTTGGCACTCTATCTGACAGTCACGTCACTAATCAATCTGAGTCTTAGCCATTGGTGGACTAGGCCTTATATGCTTTTAAGACTTACTTGATTGCCACTGCCACAAAGTGCTTTTTTTAATTCGAAATGTAATATAAAAGATAATTATGTTTATTGGTTGGTTGTAAACTTTGAAATGTCTATAATTTTGGGCAATTTTCCCGATTACGTGCATGAGTAATCACTTGTATCCGTATAGTTTGTTATTTCAATAGATTCAACATGACCTAATTATATTTTAATAGGTGAGTTCCATTATGAAAAATCGATATGTGTATTCTAGGTAAATAAGTTAACAACATTTGGTCATAAAGTAGAGTATATAAAGTTCTCAAGTACAATAGCATTATTAGTCTATTGAATTATTTTAACATGTTACCAATGAAGTGTACGATTTCAATATTGTTCTTAAGCATACTCACAGTCTCATGTTTTGAATCGAAGTTACTAGAAACAGCCACGGAAACAATTAATGAGATATTTGATTACAGAAAAATAACATGTATAGTTTGGTCTCGAACAAAACCGGAAAATCTTAAAGGATTATTGGAAAATTATCACGGATCCGTAGTAACATATGCTATGCTAGAACCAACGAAGAGTGATTTTCATAAGTTAGTGAAATACAAACAAACGGTACTATTTGCTCCAGATCCTGATGAATTCAGACATTTTATTTATACGGTTGTAAAAAACGTCGTAAACCCGATCAGGGTTATACTGATTTTAACCAAACCGATTATTAGTAATGACGTTTTATCAGATCTGATGAAATTAGCATGGCAGAACGATATCGGTGACTTCATTGTAATAAGTGTTTACGACAACGATGACAATGTAACACGTACTACGTATATTCCTTATACGGATGAAGAATGTGGTAACTACAGTCCAATAATATTACCTAATAGTAATAGAAAATTTATGAGAAAATTTAACAATTTCAAAAAATGTCCCATTCGTGTAACAGCTGTTAATACTGTTCTATATTTTGTATTAACAACTGACAATGGTAAAGTTCATATAAGTGGGATAGATGGTGATGTTTTAAATCTTGTACTGGAGAGGATGAACGCTACTATAAAATTCGTAGAGGGAATAAACAATCGACAAATTGAAGTAATCTTTAATGGCAGTGCAGCGGGGCCATTCGGCGATATAGTTAATGGAATAGCGGATATCATGGGTCCAAGTCTTCTATTGACTATAAAAAGATACAGTCTCGCTCAGCCTTCGTATGTATATCAAACATTAAATTTAGTCTGGTGTTTACCTAGACGTCGTGTAATGTATACTTGGATTAAAGTGTTTCTTCCCTTCTTCACGATTACCAGTCTGTTTTTTCTATTAGCTTGGTTGTTGCTCTTTATATTGATTAGGTTAATACACAAATTTAGTTCAGTGAATCCCAAAATGAAGCATGTTTCATTTCGGATCTTAAGTATGTTTCTTGGGCAGCCGATAGAATTTGTAACTGAAAATTGGCTGGCAAACAGTATTTTCGTTCTATGGATTTGGTTTTGCCTTGTAATACGAGTAGCATACCAAAGCGATCTTGTGGAAAGGTTTGAATTAACAATTTTAGAGCCACGTGTGAGTACTGCGAGTGAGGCATTGCAGATGGTAGACGGTCACGGCGGCTTCGCCTCTGTCAAAGATTATTTTCAGAATACGCCTATGGAAATAAACTATCAGGACATAAAATTAAATGAAACTTCAAATTACATCAATAAGATCGCGAATGGGACAAGATTCCTTTTGGTTACGAATGAAATTTTGATTAAATACTTCAACCCAGAAGTTCGAATACTGGACGAACGAGTGACAAGTATCCCAGCATGCTTCTATATGCGTCCGCGCTGGCCTGCCATACATGAATTTAATAAACTAATTGAAAGAATTACTGAGACCGGCTTTGTAAATAAAATCTTAAGCGATTACATACATAACAGTACATCCAGAAGGAGGTTATCACAGACAAAAAGTCCCAAGCCTTTGGAATTATCCATTCTCATAGCTTGCTTTAATGGTCTAATGATTTCGTACATAATATGCGCCATGATTCTCGTAGGGGAACTTTATTGCTATAAAATACAACGTAGGCGCTCTGCTTGACTTTGTAAACTAGATGTGTTTTGTGTTATTATACTATTGTGAAAAGTATTGCTTGATTCCAGTTTTGTAATAAAAACTAATAAATTCGCGACAATGTTTTTTAGTTTAATCCCAAATCTGTACTTCTTAATAACGGTATAGAGTAACAGTAACTAAATATGATTTTAACATAATTTAAAACTTGCATTTGTAAGTATTGAATAAAAATGGTATTGATTTTTGTTGATAAAAAATCGAATACTAAACCTTTCGGATGCGTTTCTGTTACGATTGATGCATCGCTTTTCTAATAACGTACACATAAATAACAGACTACACGTCGCACAGAGCCTGTGCAATTGTTTCCGAGCCATTACTTACTTCCCATATGTCATTTGCTTTTTTATTTTCACAGGGATTAGAATCGGTAAAATACTGGACAGAAACTTCGTTACACCATTTTTTTTAAACTTGTCTTTTTTTAACAATTACAAAATCGATATAGTAATTAATTAAATTATTAGAATCATATCTGAGAATTTAGAAGGGCCATACAATTTAGAGTGACCATTTGCTAACGAATAGTAAACAAAATGGCCCCGCCTTTGATCCAACGCCAAATGCCTTTGACAGTCTGAATGACCCTGTCAGATACATTAGGTCTGAGATGATGAATAACTACATTTAAAAGCTAAACTCACTGTATATGTTAGCTATAATCATTCGTGTAAGATAAAATGCTTTTAAAGTCTACGACGCAGCGTTTATTACTGTACTAGCTGTTGCTCGCAACTTCGTCCACGTGAAATTAAAAAAAGTGAAGTAAAAATATAGCCTATGTTACTCAGTGATAGCTTTTTAATGGTGCAAGAATTTTTGGAATCAATCCGGTAGTTTTTGAGTTATAAATTATTGCATTAATGCAAAAATACAAAATTTTTCCTCTTTATAACACTTGCATAGATAGGCATATTGACTAATACAGTTCTCACAACTGAGATATCTTAATTTGTCAATACCAAGTTTTGAATTAAGAGCGGAAAATAAGGAATAATGACTCCCTAAAGTAAATTTATAGCATCTAATAGTCCAGTTAATGTCAAAAAATAATTATGAAACAAAATTTGTACTTGAAAGTGCATATTAAGTAATACGTTTTTACGGCAAGTAAATTTTGTTATAGTAGTAACAGTTTGCGAGTTACTACTGACAGTAAGGTACTGTGAATATTGGCGTATTCTGGATATCGGCGTACGGTTAGACAACTTTATACTCGAACTTATTGTGGGAATTTGTAATGAAATGTTGAATATAGTTTCCGTTAACGGATTTGGGGAAATTCCTTCTATTGAAAATTCAAACATCATGTGGTTCTGAAAAAATATTTTTAATAGTATCGTATAAATTTTACAACGTAATTATGCCTATCTCTACTAATAAAAAATGAAGAGAAAAGATTGATATTTTTGTATGTATTGAAATAATTTAAAAACTACTTGGCCGATTTCAAAAATTCTTTCAGTCTTAGAAATTTTTACGTTATCAGTGAGTAACATAGGCTATATTTTTAGATTTACGGGGACGAAATCGCGAGCCACAGCTAGTAATAAAAGAAAACTAGATAATTTTAATAAATCCAAAGCCATCGTTAACAATACCATGAGTCGTGAAATTAATTGTCTCTAAGCAAATGTTTACGACTAAACACGCGTGTGGACGATAAATCGACCAGAGACAATCGAACATCGACAATGACGCTCTACCAACGTTCTATTGCAGGGGTGCCGAATCACTGGCACGCGTGCCACAAATGGCACACGACATAATTTCGGGCACGTCGATTGTGATAAAAACACTACGAAAAATTTTGAAGTAGTTACACTATGAAATTGACGTAATGATCACAGTGTAAATTACTACATTTAATATGGCATTAAACATTTTTAAAAAAAAATTGAACTTTGATGCATAAATGTTCGCCACCCCTGTTCTATTGTATACGTCATACATATATGTATTAAGCGTATACGAATCATACACTAGATTGCTCTTCATATTTTGTAATATTTCCGACAACTAAACAAAATTAAGCTATTGTAATGATTATTAAAAACTATTTACCTTGTTATGAATTTAACTACTATATAAAATGTTGTGTGAAACATTTTACCTTGCTTACCATGTACTCTTTGCAGGGTCGAGATTCGCCTCCTTATAGAGCCGGTAAAATCACAATTCTGGAACTTTTTTTTTATAACATAAGGTGGCAAACGAGCAAGCGGCCATCTGAATCCGCCAAAATGGCGAAGCGACCGCTGCTCATAAACTTCCGCAATTGCAGACTGACTGAGACGGAACTGACACTTACGTCCGTCAATTATTTTTAAAAAGGTTAGTTTTGTTTGCATTAAGCTTTTAGCTACATTGTAAATGGCATAGATAATCTAAAAAACCGAATAATAATAGTTATCATTAGATGTCTTTCTTGGTTTAGGAACAAAATTAAACTATCTAAACACTAATATAATATAAACACCCTAAAATCTTGTGTTTCAATTTATATTAATGGCCTCATCTCACCAATCTACCGCTGTTTAATTCGTTTGGGAAAATTATGTTTAACAGAAGCCATGTGACACATTGTGTAAGTGGGGATGCTGTTGTGACACTAACGACATTTTCATCAATCACTCACAACAATTTACATGGAAATGGTCTAAATGCATAAGCACATGCATGCAATGTGCGCGTAACACATCTTGAAGAGACAGCGTCTAAATTTTTAGCTACAAAATAAACTAAAAATAAATGAATTCCAGTAACAAAAAATAAAATAGAAAAGTTGACATAACACAATGCCATATTTAACTCAAGCATGTGACGTAGACGGGTTGGCTGAGACCACGGAGGTCCATGACATTTGTCACGATTCTGAAAAACACTTTCGTTTTCTTCTTCTCCTTTGTCTTGAACTATTATCCAGTATATTTAATTTTAATAATGATAAATAGTTTTTGACTTTATGACCTTATGCCGGAAAATAGAAATAAACATTCACATCAAGTGTCCATTTTACGTCCAAATACAAATATAACAGAGCGGCGGCTACATAACGTATAAAGAAACTTGGGTCATATACATACAGCTTTTATTCAGATTTGCGTTTTTATTAGGGATGAAATTTTATAGCTGAAGGAAATCTTTTGATATTTTAGATGTTACTATATTTTTTGTAAATGTGGAAAGGGAAAATCTAACTTTAAGTGTAGATATATTAGTACATAAGTAAATATGTTATGACTAGCTGTTCCCGTGCAACTTCATCCGCATAAAATTATGATTTTTTTTGTTGTTTACATGTGTCAAATTATCTATTGCAAATGTCAAAATGACATGACATTATGACAAACCATGGCAACCTTGCTTCTTTGATGTTGGCAGCAACTTATGGTCTCTTTCCCACATTAGGGTTTTACCCAAAATATTTACCCCCTAAGTTTAACGGCGTGAAATATATAGCCTAAAGCGTGACGTAAGTGTAGGGCTTTGTTTAAAAAAATGAATTTGTCGAAAATACGCAGTAGTTGCTGGCATCTTAGGCAACAAAGAAATGTGTGTTTACGTTTTATTATAATAGTATAGATGACTGTTTACTAAATGTTAAGGAAATAAAAAAAAACGTATATAAAGCAATCAACGATTATAAAAAGAACATAGGAACACGTTGTTTTTTTTAACAAACAGATAATAAAACACATGACAAACTTTTGTATTCAGTTATTGAAAATTTATTAACAACCAACAGAAACATTCGTTCCATATAATGCAATACAACATTTTGTAAAATATCGTAACGTACACTGTTATTAAGAAGGTACATCTTTGGCAAGCCGTTCATTTTACAATCTCACCGTGGGCTTCCATTGCAGTAAATCCTGTACAAAAATATAATTATCTCCGTTACATGACTATATTTTCATACACATGTTTCGGTAATGGAAACACACGGTTATAATACAATCTTGAATAACTCGATATCAATAAATCGATTATTACATCGATCAATAAATTCGCTATCAATAATAGGACTGCCCACACGTACGAATTAAAGAATAAATACTAAAGATCTTTATAATTTAAACTAAAAACCAACGTTGGTTATTGCAAACAACAGATACTAAATAACTATACGAATACACTGTCTCATTTTTATTTCATTATAAAAAAAAAACCATCAGAAAGAGACGTTTTCAATTTTGAGATCACCCTATAGTTACAGAAGGTGCAGTAAAGTTTAGTTGAAAAAAAAAAACAACAAAAACGCAAAACCGAAAAACAATAAACAAAATATTAGCACATTAAAACCAACGAGTGATAAAATCCTAAAAATAAAAGTAGTCGAAGGCATTATTGCCTGAAGAGATATATACGAATGTATCAAACTGCTTGATGATATGTGTATTCTTGAGCTTTGAGCTACATCGGTAACAGACTTCACAACAAAAATTAAACTATAACAAATCTCACGAAATAATAGACACATTTTACCAACAAATTTACAACATCCACAACAATAAAAGATTTTTAAATGTATCAATTCGTAAAGTATCTTTAAAAGGTTAATTTCGAAAAACCGTATTTATCTGGTTTCTAAATTGGTTCACAACCATAAATTACATTGTACTAACAGCTGACAAAATGTGTCTATAATTAAGAAAATGTTTTACAACTTAAAATAAAACCTTAAAATAATTGCATTTTACTAAAATTATGTACAGATGTTTGCACTTCCTATACTCGTACGTACGCCTCATCAGACTTATGTATGTATAATAAAAATAGGATATTTCCTAATTCTCAGTCCTCCAATACTGATTAAACCTAAGTCAATTTAGAAATCGTCAATTTGTACAAAAAAGTATCGTAAATATAAATTTTCTTTCTATATATTTGGCATGATTAAAATGGCTTATTTAAAAAACGCTTCAAATGGAATGGTAATAAAATTATGCTGAACATCTCACATCATTTGGACAATCTTTGGCACTAAAAACTTAACACTAACAAGTTGTCTTTTAGGACCAAAGACATCGATAAGTTAATATTTGCATTGATTACAAATTCACTTACATACTAGCATTGTCTTAAGTCACAATACATAAGAGAGTCCGACTAGTAGGTCCTTCAGTCATCACTGACCTTTCTATACCACAATAGTACCACTTATCACAATTTCATAATCACTTTTAGTGAGATTTTCTAAGAGTATCTCCGCACGTAGTCCGACACACTAATGGCAATGGTCATACGAAATCGTTCACTTCATCCTGTAAAGGATTCTCAGCTTTTTCTATACATTTTCTGATTGCGTCTAATATTAGACCTATTCTCCTGTCTACTGCCGCGAGGTGCGGCTCCCATAGGATAGGTGATACCGGGTCTACATTAATGGAGTCACGGAGAACCTTTGAAAGTGGATCTCCATTGTGAAACCTGAAAAAAGATACAATAATTGTAACAGAAATAGACACATTCTTTTGTTATATGTTTTAGGAGTATAACTAGTTGCTACTATTGAGGGTATAAAGGTAGGCCTAGAAGAAAGACATGGATCAATTAATTGAGAAATTACAAGATAAAGACGGCAGCAATTATTGCAATGATAGAAGAATTAGGAGGACGAAAACCTGTTGCACCAGCTCCTTGTTAAAGTTGCATATATTTTAATAGATGTTTCGTAACAATAATACTTTATTAAAACACGTGGAAATGACTAACTTGAGGAGCGCGGCGAGCGTGGTGTGCCGCACCATGCAGCACTGCAGCAGCGGCGCCAGAATGCTGAGCTCGTCGTGGAACGCCTTCCCGAACGCGCGGCCCTGGTCCAGGTGCAGCGTGAATGTGTCGTTACCGAACATCCTGATTACAATACAAACAAACTAGAAGCGCTCTTAAGAATTAAGATATAGATCAGTAATCAGCACTAAGTGTTAACTATACATCGACTAGGCTTAGATTTGAATTTAAAAATATATTACATAGGGTAGACTCCGAGCCTCTTAGTGGGGACGTATAGTGAGCTGGTGATGATGATGATGATGGTGATGATATTAGTTTATTTGTCCTATTTCAGATTAATTATAAACATATCTACCGATACAAAATGTGGACCTCATTTAATAATTTGAATTAAGATTAAAGTGATATTATCTATGTCACCTTTGACATGTAGTTATTCAATGCTGGAATAATACTGCCGTAAATATAGGAGTCTTAATTATATTATGTTTATTTAAGACTTTATAACACTGATGAAGTTATTAATGTACCAAATTATGTACTAAATATTGGAAAACTTTTTGTTTGCACTGAAATTATTTCATTATTAATTTTGATGCCTTTCAAAAACGAAAGATAAATAAAAAAAGTAAACTTCTTACTTGAATGTTTCGTAATGATGTCTGTCCATATTGCCTGTCAAGAAGTCAAATATTGACATGTCCATCAGATCAAGTAGACGACGACCTGAGTCGTAGGGCGGCGTGCTGCGGACCTGTACAAGCAAATACATGAAACACTAGCTTTAGCCCGCGACTCCGTCCGCGTGGAATTAAGAAAAAACTGAAGTGATAAGCCTATGTGTTCTTCCGGGCTATCCTTTACAGCTATACAAAATTTCATCGAAATCCGTTCAGCCGTTTAGGCTACAAACTCTAACAAACATCCATCCATCAAAACTTTCGCAGTTATAATTTTAGTGTGATTAAAAAGAATTGCAATTTAATCAATAAAGTACCCAACATCACATTTTTTATTCCATATTTACGGTATGTTCGTCCTATCGAAAAGTTTTTATAAGCAAAGCTTGCTTAAATTTTTTGTAATAAGAAACCTCTTATTGTCATTTGACCGTTACTAACGAACATGTTTGAATTTGCTGGCGTTATGTAATATTACGTCTGAGATTCTAAGAACTTCCTTATCAACGTTGGATATTATAATACTTAGAATTAGTAATGGCCGTTAACAGTGTTCGAAGAAAAAAATGTTACACGTACGGTATCACAATAATCAGACTGTAGCTCCCATTGTGCTTTTCGTCGTTTATGATACGATCTCCTCCAAGGATGTCTCCATACCTGTAGGTAAATAAAACGAATATAAGTTAAGTATAATTTGCAATAATACTGCTAAGGCTAGGGACAGCGAACCAATGGCGTATTGATATTTTGATCACATCATCCATCAAAAATTACATTTTACGAAAAGCAGTGGGGTTTTTTATATTATTTCATAACCAAAATTGACACTTTGGTACGTAAAGGTTTGCCATGCCTTTAGGCAATCGTCTAGGATTCAACTATTACAAACATAAACGTGCTGTTGTTTACACAGTAAATTGCTTATCAAACCCGTTAATTCTCTCGTGGAGTTTCTTCACGTAAAATTAATTGGGTTTATTGTCTAAAAATCTATCACAATTGAGGTAACTATGCGGTATGTACTTACCTTTCGTTCAGCTAAGTCTGGAGATGGCAAAAAAGCAGCGAAACTCCCCTCTAACATGTCAGGGTTGCCACAAATGGCGTGCCCCGTGTCGCAGTAGTAGGAGCACTTGCCGTGGAAGCAGAAGTTGTTCGCCGGCGACACGAAGAACGTCCGCAAGATGTCGCCCTCGGTCACGTCATAGATCTCCGTCGTCATGTTTAGAACTCGCCCTATGACTGGCATTGCACGACGGAATCCTAGTATTCTAGTTAAAAAACATTTTTAGTTAACAGATGATATCTTTGGAATATAACACATTTGATAAATCTTCTGTTCCTATTTAGAAACAAGACGACCATTGTTCATCTTTGTCAGCCCTAAACATTTCAACTAAACTTTAAAGTAATAAAAAATAATAAACAAGACACTCTTTCTTCTTTGTAATAAAATGGTTTTTTTACCTTTGTACAAAATAATTTTTTTTAAATAAATAAGGAAGCAATACAATGTTATTTTATCCCTAGTTTCGATCGTAAACGTGGGATAGGTTGTTTTGTTTATTATTTTTAGCATTAACCTTTATAAACCCTTCATATCCACTAACCTGTCCAAATGGAAGGCCGCAATCTCTGCGTTATGTCGCTCGTAATCAGAAAAATAGAAATGATTCGGCAGAGTTTGGACGTCTCGGGCGAATCTGCGAACAAACAACGAAACGATAATATTCGTAACAAGTCACCCATAACCTAAATACACAACTTTATTAAATCAACTGCTAACTGCCGCAGAGTCTTATAGACCCTTAGTGTAGATTTGGTATGATATAACTCCTGAAATGACCGTTAGAGTCATTTAAGTCAGAAGAAAATGTCACAGAAATTCGAGTTCATTGAACTTTCGCCATAGGGTTAATTATTTCCGATATTATATTTTAAACGTAAATCGCTTCAGTCAGCCATAAACGCTAAACGATGTTAGATAAAGCACGGTGTACCGCGTAACTGCACTAGAAAGCCCACATCTCCAGATCTAACGATGAACCAACGATTATCGCGGATCTACGCTTGGGAAGCGTACTTGATTGTGTAATGGGCAATTATGTAATCATTATAAATGTGTAATACACACGTAATATTAAATCCTGTAATAAGTTACTTCGTGTAAAATATATGTAACTTCCCCTAAGACTACGACAGTTTGGAAAAAAATTAAAATGAAAGCATGTAGCTTATTCTACACTTTGCTTTACATCTATGACAAATTTCATCGATATTCGTTCAGCAGTTTACAAACTTTATAAACTCTAACCATCATCCAGTCATCTAACCTTTCATATTTATGAAGTAAGAGTAAGATTATATTGTAGAGACTTATATGTAATTGTTTGAAACCATCTATAATACTAGCTATTATTCGCGACTTCGCCCTAGTATAATTAAAAAATAATATAGACTATATTACTGATAATATAGCTTTATTAATGGTGAAAGATTTTTTTAAAACGGCCCAGTAGTTTTTGAGTTATATCAATACATACAAAAATACAAATCTTTCCTCTTTATAATGTTAGTATAGATTTAGACCAGAAACATATTTGTGAAGTTACTAATAAGCTTAAGTTAAAGTTGTTTTAATGCTAACTGAGAAAAAAGAAACGCAGAGTAACCTATTAAGAGTAGTATACATTAGAGTATTAAAAGTAGTGTACATTTTCAAAGTAAGCGGCATACAGCCTTCTGACACACAACACCGACTTAAGTGAAGGAACCCGTGACGTCAACCAATATAATAAATTTTATTTTAAACGACAGAGGTCTCCCGCTCTCCGAGTGGATATTTGATATTCCTCTTTATGGATTTATTTCGTTCGGTTTCAATTTTCGTTATTGATATCTACAGGGAATTAAATTTCATTGTTGACGTTTTAATTTTCGTATCCCCTTACACACTTGTAATGTTTATGATTAAATAATTTGACTTTTTTTTATCTAGATACGCGTTTTTAGTAATACTCCATAACGTTTACAACTGTCTTTAAAACAAAAGAGAACGTGCAGTGTTTCCCTTCTACCGAAATATTTTTATAGTCTGGCCAGAAATGTAAAACTCTGACTAGAAATGAAACCCTCGCCACATTGCGGAAAAATATGCATCTAAAAATATTCCTTACATTAAAGCGTTGTATTGTAATAAAAAAAGTCAATTGAATCCAGACTAGGATATCTATATTGTTGATTAGTCATAAACTTTTGTTCATTTGTTTTTAAACGGATAATGCTATTATACATGTTTTTTGTCAGTCAAAACTTACAGTACCAATTATAAAAACAAATGAATTATTTACGTATTATTTATGAGTTGCTATTTTTAGATACTCCGTCTGTACTAGCTTACAGGAATAGAACTGAGGTCTAAAGTTATCTCAAACATTGCAAGTTATTGCTAAGTTAACAAAGTTAAGTTGCGAAAGATAAAGCGATCACGGAGACCGTTGGGACAAGGGTTGGTATCGAGTGGCGTTTAATTTATCGCACCCCAGAGGAAGCTTCGGATATACGGCTGTGTTGATATGTCCATATCCTTCCTACAATCACTTTTATGGATACCTCATGTAAAACAATATCTTTTTTACATGAAACAATAAATTGCAGGTTAAAAAGGACAAATAAGAACATACTAAAGGTAAATTGTAAACAAAAAAAAACTCTATACATTAAAATATGGTGCCATACTCAGAGTCCATAATTGTACGTTATGGTAAACCCTCAGTGTATATTTAGCATCAGAATTAATTATTTAACTAAATTTATTATTTGAACCATTACGATATTTTTTTATTTAAATCACACGTACAATATACAGTAACAGACAAAGTAACGGTATTTTCCATATTCTATTACTTTGTCGAAGGAAAAGTTCAACAAAAGGTTGTACAAAGGAACTTAGCACTTACTTCGATTACACTCGTCCAAGTGCCTTTAAGCCTATAGAACATTCTAGAAGTTTACTGAATGGCAACGCACAACACTCGACTTGTGGAGAGGAAAGTTTCCCACAAGTCCACGACAGCACTTGAAACAACTTACTAGTAACTAAACTACAAGTAGTAAAGCAGAAACATACTAACACGCAAACTGTAATAAGTAAAACTATTGAAGGGAATGTTAAGAGACAAAGTCAAACATACACACAAAGAATAAATTGAAATATCATGCATACTAGGTTAACACTTCCTGATTGATTATTTAAGGCATATTATTAAAATAAAATAAAACAATCTATTCTTAATCTAATTTAGATAACGCAAAATATTAATTATTTATTGGATTAAAGTAATGACATGATAATCTTCGTTTTAAAAAGATAATTATTATATCAATTCAGTCTTACCTCATTGGCTTAAACAGGGCTTGTATACCGTTCGGATAGTCTATGATCAACTTCAGCTGCGTCCCTCCCTCTTTCTGTTCTGTAAGAGAAATAATTATGTTATCTATACATATAAAAAAATTGGATTGTCTGTTTGTAATATCAAAAGAAAAAATCCAGATTTTGGGAACATGATGTATTTGCGTTGCCGATAACGAAAATCGCAGTTAAAAATGTTTTTGTCTGTCTGTCTGTCCGCAAGCCG